GTATGTGCATACACTTACGATCCAGTGTGCCTCTAATGAGACACAAAGTACAGACAGCAGGTTGAGCGTGGGCTGGAATACCATGACAACGGCCTTGGGCTTCCAGACATGTGGAAAGAGACTGGAAGAGAGAAATAGACAGAATGTCATTTATAACACTTATTTTGATCCAGAATAGAAAGCGATTGATCCGTCTACTGCCTGATGAAATAATAGGTAAACAACTGCGGCCATTTTTTTCGTTCGCACACTCAGCTTATCCTCATATACAGTACTTCTGTAAGCGCATCCTGGAGGCCTATGTTAAAACCCTCCTCTTTCTGCAACATCACCCACACAGCTGCACATCTGAAGTGTTAATCTTTAATCTGTAAGAACCCATTTGTCTGTGTATTTGGCTTAAAATTCAGCATGTGTATTTCATAGAACATTCTACAGGCTGTGCAGCAAAAAGTGTTTCACTGGTAAAATTCAGGTTGTATTTTTGATATTTTTGTCCTTGAGGAAAGTAATTTAATTGTTGTGAACTCAACACCATTCAAATTATAATTCACACTGAAGAGTGATATTTACATTCTTTACAGATTAAAGTATTTTTACCCTTATGTTTTTGTGAAACCCTTTTTGCCGTTTTGATGGTAACTGAGTACATCAGCTTTCTGTGCTGTGGTTTTCTGCAGATTGTGTGATTGTAATGTCATAAGGCTGGCCCTCATGCACCTGTACACATTTCAACGTGACGTAAATCTGATATAGGCATTTTTGAACTGACAGATATCTTCAGCAACAACAGATTGAATTAGCTTCCCTGCTCTATTGTACTATATTTATTTGTATGTACAGTATCCTGTTTTTTTTTTTTTGTTTTTCTTCTTCCTGGAATGATAAAACCTTGATAAAGAGATGATTGGTGACTGAATGTTTATCTTGGGGTTGTTGATATGTCCCATAAAAATAGGTTTCAGTTTTATGTGTTTTCTTCCCAGGACTTGCAACCATTTGCTAACCGTTTAGCACATCTTTCCATCCCATTTTATCCCAGGATGCTTTTATTACCATGTCAACAGATGAAATGAAATCAGTTTACAAATCCTTTGCTCACCTAACTACTTTAGTGTGTGGAATAGCCTCAGGTGTTTAGCATTTAGTCACAAGTGTTGAAATTGACACCAGTACACAGAGGCCAGCTTAGGTAGTATAATCATTATCAATAAAGTGGATAGGCTGAGGGGTTTTTTTTGGCAGAAAAGCATGTGCAGACCCTTGGGAGCCACTTTATCCCTACACCTGATTCCAACTCATACTGAAAAAAAAAATAAAAAAATAAAAAAATACTCAGCTGCTTTATTCAGGGTAGTTCTGATTGGCTTCTACTGTCCCAGTATTTTAGTTGTGTCATGCTCTCACTGTACAGGACTAGTAAAGTTCAAATGTTGGCAAAGAAATGCTGATGGGAGAAACTCTGAGATGTATGAAACATGACACTAACTTCAGATTTCTTCCTCTACCTCCACATTATCATTGAAATGTGCATATTGCGTTACTAGTAAGATTCACTATGATTTAAAGCCAGTTTGTCTTAACATTCAAGAAACCTATCATCACTCTGCATAGAGATACAGTAAAAATGGTAACATCATTTTTGCTTTTCCTTTAAAAGGCCAGCATTTCCATGCACAGAGTGCCATTTTATAGCAAAATTGAGAAAATATGTTTCGTTCAGTTGTTTTAAATATGCTGTACACATCAAATATGACTTAAAAGAAATTTGACTTTGTAATTTGAAGCCTTCAAATTGGCTTCTGTCACTTTAAGAAGAGGCTGATATTTCTGACACTCGCCCTTCAGCACATCATCACAACAGTGCTCCTCCGTTATGCCATTTACAACTGTTCATAGGAGCATTGGATTGAGGATTATTTCGATAAGAAGTCATGCAGTTCCACCAGGTGTTTGCTCATTTCTGCTGCCGCTAGTCTGGAGGAGCTGAATGGGGTCGGTGCAGGGGAGGGGTGCTCAGTGATGCAGAAGCTCAGCTGGGGACTGCAGCTTCTAGGAGGAGTTTCATGGAAATATCTTTGTGAGACCAAGTGCTTAGGCACCTCTGAATGGCTCGCACGGGAGATACAAGGATTTCTCAAACATGCATGGAAAGAGCAACTCTCCAGGTATGTTTTTTGATGGGGGAATAATCAAAAAAGTCAATCCAACACAACATGCCCCCATTAATTGGTTTAAAAGAACTAATTTTCATTGAAAGTTTAAAAAAAACTAAATGAATTTCATTGACAAGATTGTAGTCTCTTATTAATTGCTTTGACCTTTTGCACCATACAAATATGAGGCTAAACATTTACTCATGTCGGATAGATTTATGGTAATTGAAAAATTATATGCGATTTCTGACCACAGCTCAGTGACTGAGGGTGACAGTAACTGTGACAAAAAGAAAGTAAAAATTGACAGAGGTGAACTTTGAGGTAGGCAGAGCAGGGGAAGCAGTTCACTTCCACACTGGATCTCCAGTCTGACTGAGGGTGCAGGGACTGCTGTAGGAGAAAATTAGTTCTGTACTCTGGAGGCTCTGAGACAGAGAGAGAAAAGAAACGTTGGTAGAAAATAAACAAAAAATAATGCTGAAAGAAACTAATTTTCACTGTAAGAACTGAGGATCATTGTTTTGGTTGTGACAGGCTGGCAATGAATTGTGGAAGGAGAAGACATTTGTCATTCAATCCACTTTCCTCCCCTTATCTCTGCCTTTCGCATGCAGACACGTTCACATTGCCATCTGTTCGTTGTAAAGGAGTGGCAAACCCCGGCGTCTCGCCAAAGATGTAAACTATAGCGTCTAAATGTGTTGTGGGGGTGAACTGTGAGGCGCTCACATGCATATAGCTGGCATTTTATCAGCAGCATCAGACGAACCCAGTTTGACCTAGATCATCTCAAGAGTCTGGCGGTGCATGTGTGTGGGTGTGTATGTGCCTCGTGGTTTTAACCCGTTTGTAAGTGATCCGTTGAATTTTGGACATGGCCCATCATGATGTAATCTCTTCCTCCTACATGTCTTCTGATTCTCTAGTGACGGCTCTATTTTTGTTTCCTTTCACTCTATGTCTGGTTATGTTTCTTGGTCTTTGTGATGCTGTCTTATTTCCTCTAACAAACCTCTATGATGTGCACGGAACCGTTGGATTTTGTTGAGATGAAAAATTAATCACACATAGGTGGGCTCTCTTTACCTAGGTGACCTCTGAAGACAATTGGTTTCTGCAATGGATAGGGTTAATAGAGTAAAGGCGGATGAATACAAATGCACTTTGCACTTTCGAAATTTTTATTTGTAAACAATTTGGAAATAATCAAACCTTTTCGCTCCTGTTCCCATGTAAAATATTTAGATGTAGCATTAAAAATGTGAAGTTCAAATAATTTGAATACCTTTATAAGGCATTGTAAGTTTATATCCTCAACTGCATTCTGGTTGCCCCCATTTGAATGCTTAGACTTATTAACATTGCCACTTTTCTCTCCTTTCCTTTCGTCGCAGCGACGGATGGGCAGACAGGTACGACGTGACAGAAGGCTACTCCGAGGAGGCAGCCGGGGGTATTACCATCAAGCTGCAGTCGGCGGACGTGAAATGGTTTGATGATTACTACCTTAAGCTCCGTCCTGAAAACAACCACAGGAATCCTTGGTTTCCGGAGTTCTGGCAGCATCGGTTTCACTGCAGACTTAAAGGTCATCCACAGGAGAGCAACAAGTACAACCGCACCTGTGAGAGTAAGTGGAGACACAAATAAAATACCAAAACAGAGGGAACTTGAATGTTTCAGGCCATCAAAGAAATTCTGATTTCAGAATATTGCTCGGCATATAGGGAGAGCTAATGCTTTAAGCCACTGAGCATCGGTGATACAGCAGGGTAGTTTTGACACACTGATTGCTACCTTGTCAGATGAATTAAAGTCAGAGCCACCTTTGATCATTGTGAAGGTCATCTATTTGCTCTTTACATATCCTCAGTGTCCACCTGCACACCAGGTGGATCATATATTCATTTATCATCTGCTCCTACACTGGGTGTAGGATTGTAATTTTGATTCTGTTAATAAAACATTCCAAACCACATCTTTTGCTTTGTGAATCAGTAATTGGTCCCTAAACTGAAACACTGATACTATCCTTGGCATCATCAGCTGCCACAAAGTGCTTGTGATAACTGGCTATGAGCCTTTTATATTTCTGTGGAGATTTTTGACCCACTCTTCTCTGCAGAATAGTTTTAATTTCACTGGTGTTGGGTGTTTTTTTGGAGCAGCTTGTTTAAGGCCATGCCACCACGATCTAAGTGGAGTGGAGTGTAAAGTCACCCATCGAAGGTCAGACCTTCTTCTGTTTTTTTTTTTTTTTTTGTATAGAGCAGAATTCATTCAATAATGCTAGACCACGTAAATGTGCTTAAGTGTAATAATCATCGTTGATGCCAGATATGAAATAATTTGAGGAAATGTCAAGATACGTTTTTGGCAAATGTGTGAGCTAGTAGTTTTCACCAGGTGGAGCAGGTCCACCCCTGTTCCACAGGTTCTCCAATGGTTCGTATTGATTCACTGTGGAGTCTCAAAGCCTTCGATATGGTTTTGTAACTATTTCTAGTCCATTCCTAATAGATGTCAGTGACTTTGCTTCTCTTCAGTTTTTTAGCGAATGGTGTGTTGCTTGTTAAGACCTTTTATCCTACTTTATGTTGTCAGAAATGCTCTATTTAAGTGATTTATTGATTCTTCAGGTTGGGTCATACTCGGGCGTAAGAGATGTCTCAAGAGAAATGAAACTTTGTTATTAAGTACTGTTAATATGAGTCAATTTCACCCAAGGGGAACAATTACTTTCATGCAGATTGGGCTGTATAACTTTTATCCATAAAATATGAATTGGTGAAAACTCAGGTTATCTTTAGGGGCAGCTTTTTGACAAACAGCTACAAACAGACCACATGACCTTTAGGTTCATCTTGAGAATGAACCCTCCATTTCTTTTCATATTTTGATTCAATGCCATCCCCTTCTCTCTCTGTTTCATTCACTTCATTCATAGGCTAAACAGTACTCCAGAGCTGCATCAAAGGGAGTCATTTCTTATTTGTCCTAATGAAATGGGACGGGAATTACAAAAGAACAGGACACAGACAGACGCAGAAATGCAATGTGGAGGTGGGGAGTGACTGATGAGGAAGAGGAGAAAGGGCCCTTTGATGTTAGAAAAAAATTATTTAGGACTGACAGTCGTCCAGTGCGATGGTCAGTCCTCCTCCGCTTTAACTATCTATTTATCTGTGCACCTTTTACAGGAAGGGATTCCCTGCAGACTCATTACGCACAGGACACCAAGATGGGATTTGTCATTAATGCTATTTACTCAATGGCATTCGGGCTGCATAACATGCAACGTTCTCTATGCCCAGGCTATCAGGTAGGTCCAGTCGAAAAAGAAATACATGAGGGACCAGGGCAAGCAGTACAGAAAAGCTGAGTGAGTAGATAATTGTGTTTCACTGTCTAAGCTCTTTCTCAAATTCCAATTTGGCTACATTTAGTTCATGCAGAGAGTCCAGCAGTGTCTCCTTTGCCTCTCTACCTTGCATTGTTGCACAAAGTGAACTCATCAGTCATGACCTGAGCAGACCGTGCAAAAATCTCTCTGGAGACTGCTCCCATGTTTCAGCAGACTTTACTCCCATTTTTTGACTTTTTTTGTCATGTTGCATGTATGACAAAAAGTCAGAAAGTATCCCAATACAATGAGGAAGAACTTTTCAGATTGTAAACCATGTCTGTGAAGAGTGAAGTGCAACCAGACTAAGCTCCAGGAAGTGGGTGTTCTTCCTGCCAATTTGAGTTTGGCTTTCATTCACCGTACTAATATCATCAGTCTTTTTACATACACGGGCTAAAAATCCCCAATTGCATTAAACTGGATCTTTTCTGTAATCATTCTAAAAATGGCCTTTTATTTGTCCACCACCAGAGTTTGAACCATTTTCCTACTTAGGAGAAGCTTAGAAGTGATGATTGACGAAGGTTGTTTCTGTTTTCTTTTCCTTTCCTTGTGATTTAGGTTAGTTGAGCTCCACTTAGAGTTTCCAGTGCTTCGTTTAGTAAATTGCTGTCGACATAGGTTACTTCCTCTGCTCACCTCACTACAATAATGTTTATTAAAGAGCTAAAAGTGCTACTCTCCGCTTTATGGTTGTGGGAGCTGTTGTCACACTCTCTTATATCGCTATTAATTGCATTTCCTAAAAATATAAATTCCTGTAGCATCTATAACCTGCACTTCTCATGCTCAAGATTTAATAGCAGTGTTGTTATAAAATTAAACATGTTACAGTATTAGATGTATAGAATATCAATGGTGGAATGTTGTTTACATGAAGTTAATACATCATTTAAGCATAAAGCAGAAAGGCAGTAGGGTATAAGGAAGCATGTTTACAAGTCTCATAATGTCTTTTTAGAAAATATTTTTTTGCTGGAAAGATGTGGAAGCGGATTTTTAACAAGTGACCCCTCACTGGCTGTCGATTTCATTTAAACAAACCGCCAGTAAGTCACAGAAAGTCTGTCACAGATAAAATGTTTATCTCCCTCTGCACAAACAGCAACAGGTCTCCGTAGTTAAACTGTTCAACTACAAACACCGTTGTTGATATTTCTTAACTTTAAATAAGTTATAATATGCTTCAATTTTATGGACAGATAGGTGAAGATGCATCATCAAACCAACTACATTTTCAATGAGACATCAATCTGGATGTTATCTTTTGAATGTTTATGAAAAAGCCCACAATTTCATTGAGATCATTGATCCTGGAGATCAATGATCTCTTCTCTGATTTTCTTTTTAAACTAATCAGTTAATGATGCTCTATGAGTAGTTTAACGTATCATGTTTCCTCTTTTTGTAGGCATTATTAAGAAGCCTGGTATGTTCATTTGTCCCTGTTTTTGCCAGTCAGTCTATTAGAATATGTTTATGTTTATATGGAAACCGTCCCATAAAGTTGAATAATTACATACTACCATGGTTATTTTGTGCAATCATTGAATTCGTTTGCATACTTCAGACTAATGGCTAGCATTTCTACAGGGCCTTTGTGATGCTATGCGACCCATAGACGGTGCTACTCTGCTGGACTTCCTGATGAAAACCAACTTCACTGGCGTGTCTGGAGAGGGAATTTTATTTGATGAAAATGGAGACTCACCTGGCAGGTAGGCAAAGTTGCTGGGTGATTTATATCCAGCATAATTTCTATAACCTACCTCTTTGATCTCTCAGTGGGACATTCACTGCACATTTTTATTGCTTTAAATAGGTATGAAATAATGAATTTCAAGAAGATGGGGAGGGACTACTATGACTACATCAATGTTGGCAGTTGGGACAACAGTGGACTGAAGATAGCTGATGATGAAATCTGGTCCAGCAAAGAATCCATCATTAAATCGGTCTGCAGTGAACCCTGTGACAAAGGGCAAATTAAGGTAAGGTGGCATTAAATGCTTTTTTGAAAGATTTAAATGGGACAAAAAATTATAGTAAAAGAAGTGTCATTTTGCAGGGTTTGCAGTGGTTGCTATACCTCTGGCAATATTAAAAGGCAGACAGAAGTAATTTTCAATGTGCTCCACAAGATTTTACATCTTGGGTCATAAAAGTGATTTTAAAACTGTCTCATGGAATCATGTGCAGACTTCTAAATCTATGATCAACTAGGCAAATGGTTTATAATTCAAGCCTATGGTATAAGTCACTTTTGCCCTTAGCCTATGCTTGCATCCCCTACCTATTCCTATGTCTGATCCTTATTCCCAGATTCCCTCATTCAAAGGAATATGATATTTTCTGCTTGACTTGACACAGGCTCAATTTTACATAAATATACTGAGTCCGCTGCATACGAGCTGCCATGTCAGCAAATACAAACAAGTTTCCTGCCAACTCAATCCCTGTATTTAAATGGGGACTTGTTCAGTAGTAAAAAAAAAAAAAAAATGCTTATGGTCTCTGTTTCAGGTGATCCGCAAGGGTGAGGTGAGCTGCTGCTGGACGTGCACCCTGTGCAAAGAAAACGAGTTTGTGTTTGATGAATACACCTGTCAAGCCTGTAATCTTGGCTCCTGGCCTAATGATGGCCTCACAGGTCAGCATCTGTATGTTTGTGGTTCTGCATTTGCTCAGTTCTTGAAGATACTATCCATCCATCCGTTGGCTATCCATCCATCGCTTATTCTTGCAGAGTCACAGGGGGGTTGAAACCTGTGTCCAGGGGTCATTAGGCAAGAGGCGGGGATCTTGAAGATACTAAAATGTTGTAACAAAGAAGTCCTTGTTCAATGTGGGTGGTTGCGTGTGGGGGTGCAGAAAAGATTAAGCAATTTAAAGTAGACTTACGCTAAGACGAGAGTCCTCTCATCCAGTGTGTTGTTACAGTAAATTAAAAAGTCCTGCACCAACCGCACATTTGAGACAACCCTTCTTTTTTGACTCACCTCTGCCTCTCTCATCCGCTTTACTTGTCACAGACATTGTCATGAGTGTTTTAATTATTCTGTATTAAAAGAGGCTTTCAATTTTTAATTCAAAAACACTACAGTCCCAGCGAATTTCACTCCACCTTTATTGCGTTGGAAGCACGGGGATATTGTCTTGTTGTGCTCTCAGCTGCTCATTATAATGTTCCTCGCTGAGCTTGATGATTAAAACATGAATCAGGCCCTGCTGAAAATTCAAATGAAGTGTCACTGTCACAAAAAGAAGCATCCTAAAACTCAAATCCTGAACCAATGCTGAGCTGAAAATTGAGAGTAGGAAAGAGAAATATGTCGCGTGCCAATTTATTTTATGTCACATTTCTTCCACTCTTGTGGGGTGATGTTGAAAACGGCGGTAGGAGATCGTCCTGTAGACGGTGGGTAAGTCCTTTCTTATTGTCCTCCCTTGACCTTTAATATTCAGCATGGTAGCTGAAGCCTGTAGCTACTCAGATAAGTTGAAAGTAGCCTTATAACCCTATCCAGATTGCTGGGAGGGCTAATGGAGCTATATGCTCCACATCACCAAAAGGTCAAAATGCCTGCTTTTACAGTTAATTGCTCTTACATCCAGGAAGCAACAAGAATGGACTTTTTCAAATAAATGGCTTGACAGTGGTGGAAATGTTATTTTTCCCCATGACTGTAAACAGGGGCACTTCAATCAAACCAACACACGGTTTTCTGTGTGTTGGTTTCAGCTCAACACATTTTGATTCTTCAAACTCAGACCAGTAGAAAATAAATCTAAAAGACTCAGAAATCAAAAGGCAGAGCAAAGAGACAAGGTAGAGCAAGGATGAACCGGCAGAGAGAGAGAGGAGATAGAGGTCAGATACATCTGAAACCACGGAGAGGTGGAGAATAGGTTTTGATACAACAGTTGAGGGAGAGAAATAACAATTTAGAAAGATGAAATGAGGGTAAAGTGAAGTGAATGGAGGCTGTGACATAAGAAGAGCCCTATGCAGGAAAAGGAGTAGAAAAAAGAAGGATTTGCTGAGGGACTTGAGCCTCTCCAATCATGGCTAAGCCTTTTAGACTGATTGAGTTTATATCAAAACTTTTGATTCAATGAACCCCAAACCAGTACAGCTTATGGTCAAATATAGCAGTTCACAATTTCCTGCAACTCTGGCAATCGACATAGCCAAAGGGGGTGTGAGGGCATGTCGCAGGACTTTCAGCCTTGCATTCAGAGCTATATAATTTTTGCCACATATAACATGTTGTCTTCTTCCAGAGTATTTTTGAGACAGAACTTAGATACATTCGTTTTTATGTGTGTGCTTGGGCTGTCTTTTCATACGTTAAAATAAAATTGAAACTTATGCTTATTTACAACTTTGCAGAAGACTGTTACTTGATTATTATTATTTTTTTATTCACTCCCTTGCTTGCAAAACTTCTAATATTCATTACCCGGGTCCAAATTTCTTTATTGATTTTATGAACATTGTTGACCATTTTGAAAACATTGAAGCTAAAACAAAGAAAAAAGAATAATTCAGCCTCTGTAGAAATTGCGTTGTATTTCTAGAAAGAAAAAGCAAGACTAGCTTGAAAGTCAAAGAAAAGAAAGTTGATTTTCTACTCGTGGCCCAAGAAGTACCCAGATAAAGTCCACCAGCATAAAGACGCAATATAATTAGAGCTGTCTCTTTAATTAATGCACATTTATCTCATCACGAATGGAGAAGACTGCGATAGAGAGGAAAAGAATTAGGTAACAAGGTGGGATGGAAGAGGAAGTGGAGAGATAAGGGAGATATTACGGGATATTTAAAGGCCAGAATAATTTATGGAGGAATAAGGAAATAAATGGAGGAAGAACAATTCATGATAAGTCTTCAGGAGTAAGGAGAAGATTAAGGTTCTATTATTAAGATATATATTGTATGTCACAAAGAGCAGCACCACTCAATTATGTTGTTTACCATTCTTTTTATGCTAATTCAAACTCATAGGAACGTCATATTTATGACACAGTTGCAGTTGTAGAAATATTTGTTATTGAGTCTTTTCTACCTGTTGGTCAGCTGGTCGATCAGTCTTGACTGATTTCTTTTTTTTTTAACACCAAGAACTTTGCTGAATTTCAATCAATCACAGATTTGTTTAAACACAGACGAGCAGGAGAAAGAAAGTTAGGGGACGTGCTTTGCAAACATAAACCATCAGCACATCTAGAGACAAATATATTTACTCATTTATCTTTGCAAAGTAGCTCAAGCTCATTCAGATTGACAGGAGAGCATCTGTGAGCACCGATGTTTAATTCTTGCCACAGGTTATTAATTAGATTTAGGTCTAGAGTTTGGCAGGGTCATTCTCTAGCGCATGCAAATGCTTGGATCTAAATCACTTCATGTTAGCTCTGGCGGTATATCACTGGTGTTTGTCCTCCTGGAAGACGAACCTCTTCCCTAGTCTCAAGACTTTGCCAACATCTAACAATTTTTTTTCCAGCATTGCCAAATCACCATCAGTTTAATTATGTTCAGGGTAAGGCAAAGTGGTGGTTTTCTTTCATTATATGTTTTGCATGTAGGTCAAGCAATAGTTTGCACTTGATTTTATTTCAGAGTATTAGATTAGATGGGGCTAACACAAATGACACATAAGATTTAAAAACGTTAGCGATGTACAAATACCGTTGGAAAAGACGAGGGATATTAAGCCAAATGTTAGAACAGAAAAACCTTTGAAATTCTCACATATTCATGCAACAATTTAAAGTTTTCTTCTAATATTCCATCTTCACATGCTTGCACCATTTCTCTCCAGGCTGCGACCCAATCCCTGTGGAGTACCTGCGATGGAGGGATCCAGAACCCATAGCTGCTGTGGTATTTGCTTGCCTCGGACTAATGGCTACCTTCTTTGTCACTGCAGTTTTCATCTAGTAAGAATTTTTCTTAATGAAGAAATATTTCAAACCTAAAGTTGAAAATATGCCACAATTTGTTTTTCCAATTTGTTATTGTCTTTCTTTGTATATTTTAATTGTTGTGGGGTTTTGTTTTAATGTCTCCATCGTCATATCTAATGTTTGTTTGACTGTGTCTGCAAGTTTTCGGGACACCCCCGTTGTGAAGTCCTCCAGCCGGGAGCTGTGCTACATTATACTAGCAGGGATTTGCCTCGGATACCTGTGCACCTTCAGTCTCATTGCAAAGCCCCAAGTGATCCACTGCTACCTCCAGCGACTAGGAATCGGTCTGTCACCTGCCATGAGTTACTCTGCACTTGTTACCAAGGTGAGAAATAGGACGGAGCCACCACTCCTCCCATTGAAATTAAAGCAGTTGTGTAGAAATACTGCAGACAGTTTAAAAATAGCTCCAGTACAGTAAGTGATGTATGTATTAATGATGTTTGGGATCCGACTGCAGACGAACCGCATCGCTCGGATCCTGGCTGGGAGCAAAAAGAAGATCTGTACAAAGAAACCTCGCTTCATGTCAGCCTGCGCCCAGCTCATCATTGCCTTCCTCCTCATACTGCTGCAGTTGGGCATCATTGTGGCTCTTTTCCTCATGGAGCCGCCGAATGTAGGTTGCAGATGTGTGAACTAAGAGCACGGTAACATGATTAAAGAAACAGACCTAGGGATCTTAAGATTTAATGTACGTCCACAGATTTAGCTTAGTCCTGTCTCTGTCCTCTCACTATCTGCAGGTGATCAACGACTACCCTAGCATCCGCCAGGTCAACCTTATTTGCAACACCACTAACCTCGGAGTGGTGGCCCCCCTGGGATACAATGGCCTGCTGATCCTCAGCTGCACCTTTTATGCCTTTAAGGTATGTCTGATGTTTCCTGTCTGTTTCTTTAATGAACAAAAATATCATTGGTACCTATCCTGTTGTGACTATTCATTTGAAGGTATTCAGATGCTTTATTATGCTTGTTTCAAAACTACAGATCAGACAGAGGCGAATAATAAGTTGCACATCGGCAGACTTTGCTCTCACACAACTATTTGTTGACCCAAAATATTTGAGAATAAAATAATATTTTGGTTTATAGATTGACAGGTTACAACAGCCAACAGTCTGAACTAGTGTTGCTAGTGGATACTGTCATATGATGCCATGCTCTTGTAGAAAATAGGACACTGCTTATTGAAAGTCTGTGTTATTGGCACTAAACCGTGTTGTGGAGAAACCGTATAAACAATATATAAACCACAGATGGACACATGTTTAATTATATTTGCATTCTTTCCAGATACATTCTCTCTTTAAGACCAGTATGCAGTAGAACATGCAGCATTGTTCTGGAATAAATTAACTCCCATTTTCAGGAGTGAGCTGACTAAACGTTTTGAATTTTTAGTGTCACCTGGGAAAAAAAAATCCCTTTTAATGGATATTATTATTATTTTTTTAAGTTTACTTTGATCTTTACTCATATTTCTGTAATGTAGAAAAAATATGGAATGTGTTATCTGGTAGGATATTAATCTAATCTAATTGACATTTTTTTCTGCATAAGTCTGTGAATTTGAATTGGCTTCTCAGTAAGACTTACATTCACATATATTACGTTTATCCCATTAACTGTCACGAGGACACCAGTGTCCTCACGGACCCATTGACTTGCATGTAAGTGACAGTCCAGAGCAGCATGCACATGGTGGGTGGCTGTCAAGGAGACTCTCCACTGTTTGCCAAATCTTCAGTAAAAGACTTTAATCAAAGATTCCCTTCCCAGTCGCCTGTGTTATGATGTTTCGTCAGACACAAAAAGTGAACAGAAACGGTGAAGCACTATGAAAGTTTGGTGTGAAAAACTTTATCAACAGCAATGAATGCACTTATTTTTACTGTGCTGTTTATGTGGGCAGAGTTTGATTTTTTTCTGTAAGAAAATAGACACGAACAGAACAACTGAACATATTATCCTGACAAGTGTTTTAGGTTTATTGCCACTTGATTAACCTCTCTCTCCTATAAAGAGTTTTCTAGATGTTCATTAAGTCTTAAAGCCCATTGCTTTTAGTACCAGGGCACTGGGCAAACAGCTTGCATCAATATTCATTCCAGCTCTGTGGCTTGTTGACAAAAGCTAAAAGTGGCTATTACACTTCTGCATTAAAGAAGGCAAAAAAAAACAAAAAAACCTGAACATAAATAGTTACAACATTTTTACTGATTCTTGATTTTTTTTCTTCTCCTTTTCCAAGACCCGCAATGTCCCAGCTAATTTCAACGAGGCCAAGTACATTGCTTTTACCATGTACACCACCTGCATCATCTGGTTGGCGTTTGTTCCCATCTACTTTGGCTCCAACTATAAAATCATCACCATGTGCTTCAGTGTCAGCCTCAGTGCCACTGTGGCTCTGTGCTGCATGTTTGTACCCAAGGTAAGGTGAAAATGAAAGTAACGTTTTACCGTATGTTTTAATGGATTTTTGGTTTAATTGCGTCACCCACAGTTACAGTTACAGACATGTAAATAAAAGCTTTGCAGTTGCATAATAGAGAGGGAGCTCTGTTGTAGATTTCCTGCTTAATCTCTCCAAGTTGTTCAGTCGTGGATTCCTCGGTGAACGGTTTTTGTGTTAACTTGGCCACCATCATTTTCACATCACAAGACCCAATTATGACCCATTTCAGTTTTCTGGTAGATATTAGATATGTATTAAAAACCTTCCTGGTGTTTCAATAAATTTACTGAAATACCAGAGTACAATGTTGTGGCAGAGTAAAATCCCATACTCTGCCAACAACATCACAGGTCTAACCTCAAGTTGCTAACAATCTGCGAGTGTAGCTTTGAATGGTCGCTGTGACAGGAAAGACTCAACAGGTTAGCATTACATTAGCGAAGTTATTACCAACCCTAACAAAATGAAAAGAAAATCTGTTCATTTAATCTAACCTTCTAATTTGCTTTCACTTCGGGAAAGTAAGACTAGAGACTTCTCAGTATTTACGTGAAAATGACAAAGAAACAGCTTTAATCCGAGAAATGGCATCAAACTGAAATAGAGAGTAATGAATGCATTGCTCTGTTCCATTTTAGGTGTACATCATCCTGGCCAAGCCAGAGCGTAACGTGCGCAGTGCCTTTACCACCAGCACCGTGGTCCGGATGCATGTGGGAGATGGGAAGTCATCCTCAGCTGCCAGCCGCTCTTCCAGTCTGGTTAACCTGTTTAAGCGTAGAGGCTCTACTGGGGAGACCCTCAGGTATATCTATGTGTGAGAGTCCGCTTTACACCCCCACCTAGAGCCTTTCTGCCGCGGTACTCGTGAGTTACAGTCCAAGGCGCCATCTCTATAATAGACCCACTTACGAAAGCGTTCCTGCTGTGCGAGAGATTGATTACCTGCATTCACCTGAGTCTGCTTGCCTTTTCTTCTGACCCCATTGTGAACTTTGGAAAATTGCCTCATGGAGGCACGACAAAGAAGGAGCGACGGCATACTGAGAGGGAGAGGAGTGAAGAGGGAATATAAACAGTGAAAAAGATGGATGGTGAAGAAAATGAAGAGCTGAGGTGATGGGAAGAAAGAGAGGACATTATTCCTCTTACTTTGCGCTCTTCAGGCCATCCACAGTGACAGGGAACCGATCAAAGGACTCAAAAAGGAGTGACGCATAACCCCCCGTCTTAGAGAAAAGACTGGAACACGTTTTCATTTGTCAGCAGGTTGCTCCAGCTCACCCTGCTTGGCAAGCAAGATCTCAATCACACCCCTGTAAAAAAAAATGTCTATGCTCCTCTCTTCCCTCTCTTCCCCTGCACGTCTCTTTTGGTCCTATCGTCCTCTGTGGGTGGTGGTAATTGGCAGGGCTGTCTGTCTCCTCCGAAAAGGGCTGGAAACTGTTGTGTTTGAGATGCTGCCGTTGTCAGGGCAGGCAGAACAGACACGGACGGAAAATAATTTAGCAGACTGGAGGAATAAGAAATGCTTGATCAATGTTTATACCAAGTGTTTGAACAGCTGAGAATAAAAAGTTGGTTTACCTTCACCAGACGTTAAAGTCAAACTTTGAGCTAAACACTGCAGATGCCACAGCAAATCGATTAATGTCTAGATCAGCATGCAGCGTGTACCTCTATAAGCCCCGTCCTGCATGTTCATTCAAAGGGGATTTGAGTTCTCCCATCTCTACCCCAGTCATGTTGGCGCGGGATTTAATCAGGAGTTCCTTTTTAGATTAATCACACTAATTAACCTGACAAAAAGACAGAGGGGCATCGAAGGACAGATCTCTTGAACTCAGGTGAAACAGGGAGGACTGGAAAAAACAAACAAAAAAAAAGGGTCTGGCAAATAAACGTTAAAAGCACATTTAGAAAGGGAGGAAATAAAAATTTCTATAACTGTGTATTATGTCCATGTGCAACATATAGATAAGTTTTTTGATTCAAAGTTCCAAAGAAAATTATTTCTAAAATCCATACAAGTTGCAGGCTATCTTATCATTCCAATTACTGAAACCACCAATAAAAGTCCAAAATTAGCATGACATCCATGCCAATCCATAGTAATTGGAATGATACTGAATGACGAGTGTATGTGTACCCTCTGACCAACATGTACATCTCTGTACAGAGGCGAAGCAAAGGCGTTTAAAAAGCAAAACAAGACATGAGATCTTATAAAGAAAAAAATTAAGGCAGAGAAAAGTAGCAAAATTTATCAGCATATAAAGTGAAACTGATTCATGTGGTTGGCACAAAGCTCCCGCTGAATGTTTTATTTATTATCTGTAATTACTTTTGCACAATTATTAAATAGGCTTGGAAGGCTAATGAACAGAATATTGAATTTGCTCATCTAGATTCCGGCACTAAACACTTTTCCCTCTTCCTTTTCTCGGCTTTTGTAATTCTCCACAGCTCCAATGGTAAATCGGTGTCTTGGGCGCAGACCGAGCGCAGCAGTTCTCGAGGCAACCACCTGTGGCAGCGGCTGTCCTTCCACATCAAGAAGAAAGAGAACAACCAGACAGCGGTCATTAAGCCCTTCTCCAAAACCTCTGAGGAGCGGTACTCCGGGGGATCCAACTTGCCTCCGCATGTACCTCTGCCCTCCCTCTCCTCCATGTCCTCCCTGCCCACTCATCCTGACTGTGGCACAGACAAGACTCTCTACGAGCTCTCAGAAGCCGAGGAGCACTACTCGATCACCTATCGGCCGCAGACGCCGTCGCCGATCAGCACCGTCAGCCAGAGGATAGGAGCCAGTTTGGGGGAGGAGTCCCAAGTGGCCTGCATTTCTAAGTACTCCAGCAGCGTCTGCAGCGGCGGCAGCAGCAGCAGCTGCGGGCCTCCGAGCAGCGGCTCCGTTGCCGCGGGGAGCGATGGGCGTCTGGTTGCCATGGACAACCGTCCACCGCCACGCCAGAATTCGCTGATGGATCAGATCAGCTGCGTGGTGAACCGCTTCACCGCCAACATTACGGAGCTCAATAGCATGATGCTCTCCGCCTCGCCGACGCACACGAACAAACACACTCCCCCCGCCGCTCACCCCCCCGATCCCTACCTGCTGCCCCGGGAGATCCCGATGCCCCCGACCCTCACCACCTACGCTGACGTCCAGCCCCTTCCCCAGATGGAACCCAGTCTGGGCAACCGGGGTGGCTGTCCAGTTCACTCCATCCCTCGCTCGCCCTACCCCCTTCAGCCTCCTCCTCATCCCCACACGTCCCCGTCACTCTCCCCCATAAGAGGAAGCCTAGTCGCCTGCATCCCCGACTCCCCGCTCAGGAGGGTTGAGCTGGAAGAGGAGCTCATCGCTCTCACTCCTCCTTCGCCCTTCCGTGACTCTTTGGGATCCAGCAGTGGCTCCCAGATCTCAGAGACTGGTTTGTTTGTCCCTCCTGTCCCCAACCACCCGCCCCCTTCTCCTCCCTCACCTAGGTACACCAGACTGACTCTCAGAAACTACAGTCAGAGTTCCTCCTCACTGTGAGGGAGAGGTGATGATCCGGAAAACGTAGATCAAAACAGGACGGACAGACTGGAATCCATTCACCACTGTTTGGAGTCAAAACCCGAGGAGACGTCGTCGTGGAGGGCTGGTTGGTGAAGACACCAAGCTGTGTTTGTGTTTACATGTTTACAGTGAGATGCGTGTACTAGAGGCCGGCAGGGCGTCGTATCTTCTCTCCGTCTTTATTGGGTGAGAATTGAAAACGGCCGCTCTGACTCGGAGGTGTTTCAGTAACAGCAGAAATTCTTTCTGGAGGTTCTCTGTCATTTAGATTGGGCTAGTGGCCTTACGGTAACTCGGCTGACAACTAATTACAGATTCTCTGTGTGCTCGCTTCGGTGGGCCTGAGTGTGTTTTTGCTGTATCTCAGAGAAGGAGAGGTGACGGGAGTATGGCAGCAGAGAGTGCCTGTAAGAACTACAAAGGGCACATACCGAAATATATTTGCTAACACAAATCACAAAAGTGTGAGCACACGATTATAAATAAAGTGTGTGAGGAATAGCGGTGGACTTATAGGACACATACATTTTGTCTTCAGTGATAAAATCCAATTAGTGTCTAATTAAAGTGCATTGTGTGAACAGTGTTAACATTCTAAAACGGTGTTAATCTAGAACATTTTGTTACAAAAGCTTAGTTCATTTTGTTCAGCTTTCATCACATCAGTGTGTTTTCATATTTTCTAGTCTTCTAGTAAGTCTGAATGTATATTTTCTACATTATTCCTGAGGCAGTTGGGACCAAATCTTTTTGTAGCTACGCCTGTAACTTGAGACAGGGAGAACGAAGTTCGGGTGGGGGGGAGGGGTGGCGAGACCAGGCCTCGTTCTTACTGTGAACATTTTCAGTATTTAGCTCTCACTCAGGTGGATCATTGGGAAGGATCTGTCCTCGAAGCTTTTCCGCTAATACGCGTCGTTCAGAAATACACTTTGAAAGGCTTAGCTGGATTCCAGTCATGACATTTTCCAGATACAATATGTCAGCAGGTGGCAGTAACCTGTTTCATCTAAAACAGTGCTTTAAATGGAATTAGAATAAAAGTCATTAACATTTGCAGAGGAGCACAAATTGACAGATTCAAGCTGGCGGTTTCAGTCTTGTAAAAAGTAATTTGTTGAACAATCTTTGTCATTTTAAAAGACAAATTAAAGTTATGCATTTTTTTCCACTTATCCACTGAAATGATGTCATTTATCACAAGTTCAATAAAAAGCAGTAAGGGCAAATGTTCACAATCAAGAGTAAAAACACTGACATGAATATCGTCTGGAACCATGATATGCATTTCTTTATTTGGGGGGAGAAACTGCTATCTTGCTGAGAGTGAGGCAGAGTCGAGGCTAGGGTGGTGGATGCTGTAGTTGCAATTTGGAAATTTCCCGGGATTTTGCTCATTGGTTCGGCTCTAACTGTTACTAATGGATATTTGACAACACAATGACAGATTTTTCTTCTTTGGGAAAATGGTTTTTGTTTTTTCCCAAGTGGGAAATCAAAACAAACAAAAAAGAAAAAACTTTTGACTCCAAGTAGTTTGCACCTTGTGAGTTTTCGAAGCCAAGTTCAGTCTGTGATTGGTAACAATTGCAACACCGTGCAACCCTCGGTAAATACTCATTTTTTTGTCCATCAGAGTTTCATCAGTGTTAAAAGAAACTTATTGTTCAGTAGCTTTTTATTAATTATTAGCATAACAGTATGTGATATTACTGTGAAATCACTTGAATAAACCAGAACTAAAAGAATAATTAGACAACGAAAAACATTCACATTATTACTTTAAACCACAGTTTTTTTTGTTCCAGCTTTTCATCATACCAGCCCATTCCTAATCATATACCAATAAGAAATTTAGACGTTTTGTTTTCAGTCTTGTGACGACCCCTCCAGTCATCACACAGTATTCTGTGTGCATCAGCTGCTCTTCTCTCTCTCTCTTTGTCGGGTAACCTCTTCAGATGTTAAGTGGAACATAAATGAATAGGTTGTAGTTGTAATCCCTTTGACTTACGGCTTAAATTGTGTTTCAGTTGGTTGTGTCTAAAGAATATGTGGGTTTCTTTGTGAATTAATTGAATTTGCCGACAAAGATAACGTTGAAAATAATAGTCCCAGTTTGCTTATGAAGTGTTTCAAAATAAAAGTTCTCTTCTTTTAGCATTTTTCAGCAGACAGTGAGTACCCCTCTACATGAGGACATTTTTAGGACGCTTATATTGAGGGAACATAAATCACAGTTGTATAATTATTATCCGCTCACTCTCAGCGAAAAAGCAAATCTCTTCTCCTACATTCAGATTTTATTGTCAGTTGCTTTCAGCTCAGGCCTGGTCCTGTGTCATACATCCTGGAGAGTTAACACTCTCATAATCGGACAAGATTTTTGTAGATGTCTGAGCAAACTGGCTTTGTAGAGAACTGGGGGATGCCTTTAAAGCGAATGTATTTACATGTGCCAACGCTTGCTTTCTGGGTTGCAGCAGGAGAGACGTGCAGATGAATGCGTTCCACACAAGCCCTCTGAGAGACGAGGCCTTTGCTTGAGTCAGCGTCAAAAAAAACAAAAAAAACAACAAAAAAAAACAATACCAAACATCCAATGGTTCAGATGCACAATACATGCATTTTTACCTTTAGGTCGGTTAACTGCAGTACGTACGACTCGATTTAAAAGAAATTTCAAAGCAATTATCAAAACAAAAAAAAAAAAAAGCAAGTGCTTCAAAGTGTTTCCTGTGACATATTGTCCACCACCGTGTCCATGTATTTTCTGCACCGTGTGCATTCGTCTGCTGTGAGGGAGAAGCTGTCTGATGTTTGCTTAACATTTGCGCTCCACTGTAGCCGGCGAGAACAAACTCAGACAAAGCGATCTTGTAAATAACAAGGGCATGCAAAGACAGACCTGTTTTGTTGAAACGAATTGAATCGAGATGAAAGACAATTTATTTACATATCAACAAATGTTAGAAAAAAAAAGAGAGAAAAAAAATCTGATGTTTTTAAGCTGTTATAACATACAGTACAAATATGTGTTACGACTAGAGAAACTGTGTTCCTACGCTGAATGTGTGAGTGACAAATCCTATTCAAACGTCTTGTAATTGAACAATATTATGATACTTGCTATTAATATGATTATTGTGCCAAAGGGGTAAGAGGTGTCTAGTTTACTAGATTGTGGGTTAAAATATGTGGTTTCTTAAAAAAAAAGAAGAAAAAAAATTATGTAAATTGTTTCTATTGTTTTGGATACATTTTAGATAAATATTTCATATTTTTCAGTGTAGAAGCAATATTATCAATATGTATACAAGGTCCACATCTGAGGTTTTATAAATCATCCAGAATTGCCACTCTTATTACAAGCCCTCTTTAAGGATGTAAGGATGGTGGATTGATATAGCTTGAAACTTTGCTTTGCTTTGTATTTAATCTGTATTTGTTGAAATTCATTGTTATCTTCATGCTCTTGCTTTATACCTTAGTCACATTTTTACTGTTCATTTCTGGCTGTAATCATATTTAATTGATTGAATAGTATGTACAATGATGTCATACTGTTAATTAGGACAAATTAATGAAACTAATTGGTCCAAGAGGGGGGAGGTGACAGGCTGATAAACACAAGGTTATATGATATTGATTAGAGAACACATAAAACAAGGAACGACATGTGACAAAAACCATCATGTAGGGTTGGTTTTGAAAACTACGGATGTTTTAGAAAAGTATTTGTCTTTCCATTCATTTTCTCATGTTCTGTTTTCTAAGAATTTTGTATTTTTTTTTTTTTTTTCGTTTATTAAAGGAGTGCGCACATATTCAAAGTGGCAGGTTGCATGCCGGTTAGGTGGAACCGCTGCAAAGTCGACTGGTACTTTTTAATGGTTCTGTCTGGGTGTGAAACATAGAAATCTAAAAATATTTGTCAATGGAAAAACATTTTTTTAAATTAAGTTTTGTAAAGTGCAATTTAATTACTGACTATTTCTTATCAGTGACATATTTTGTATAAAGGTGACAGAGGTTAGCTTAGCCCTTATTCATGAGTTGAGTTTGATGTTACTCTAATTACAAATTCACAAAATCAGTTCCTTTTTTTTTCTTGAAGAGGACTTTAACCTTGTAATATATTTTTTTACATTATTTTTAAAGCAGGCAGGCAATGCAAGCATATTGCTATCCAACCAATAGCTGTAACTTTAAAGTGAAGGATCTTACTCAGATGTGAAAAATTGCTCTTAAGAAATATGAAAATACAAATCTGCAGATATAAATTGTGTAGGAATCCTGCACCTGCATTGATGTTGAACTGATCTGGAGAAAGTGGTTTGTTTGCTGCTGTCACTGTTGGTGCTCAGATTAGGTTCAGAGACAAACAAAAAGCTTACTGCAGCACTTCACTGTGTGTAGGAGCCTCCTGGGTGAAGCGCTGCAGCCTCTGCAGAAAGCTAAGATTTATCTCACTCTCTGACAACTTGGTTTAATTTATTGTCTCTTTAACACAAATAGCTTAAAATGGTAATTATCGAACAAATTGCAAAACTAAATAGAACACAATGTATAACACGGTGGTGTTAAAAGCCTACAAATGTTGTATTTACAGAATTAATGTAGCATTTCGACTAAATCACTTTGTTTGGGAAAGACAATCATTCATTTCTTTATCAAAATGAGATTTGGCCACGAGTCTAAACTGTTTTTTTTTTTGTTTTTCCTCTCAAAATGCTGTTGGCTAACTCACTTTCATAAATACACTCTAATAAATTGAACACGTAATCCCTGTGATTTAACATTTCTTTAATCCAGACATGCTCGTCTGTTTAGTTGGTGAAAAAAATACAGATTCAGATATTTTAAATCCCTTGACTGAACATTTAAAACCATTTCAGTGGTTATCAAAACGCCCTTCCTGTCTCACTCTGAAAAAGTCAGCTGATGCTGATGCCATGCCCTTCGCCTCCCCCCAGCATTATTTCAACAAGCTTTGGGCTTTTAGGCTTATTTGATGATATGCTGATGACAGAGGCTTTTGTTTGTCACGAAGAGAGAATCTTGTTGAATTGCAGTTGCCTAAAACATAAAACCTTTTGCAAGGTCTGACACTGGTGCACTTAAAGATCATGATTCCTCTACATAGGATAAGCATAAACCAACTTTCACAAAGATCAGTGATGGGATTCGTAGTTTTAAAGTATTTTTGGTCAGTTGTTCATCATGCGTATCAAGTCCGTTTTCTTTTCTCGTTATAAATCATTTTAAAAGATGACCTTTGAAAAGCCAGCATAATATTATGGAAGTAGTTGCACTGGAAGAATTGAGCTTGTATTTATGTTTTCAATGTAGGAATCCAAAGTTTATGTCTAGGTTAAAGTTAGATGATTGCATTTTGAATACAGCCAGGATTCTTTTGAATAAAAATATTTTCTAAAGTAAATTGTTGACTGCTTAGAAAAGAAAAAGGAAATTTTTACTTTCCTTAAGGGCACCAGGATTAAATCTCACGTGTCCCTAATGCCAAAAAGCACTGAAAGCATTGAATGAAAGTTTAATAACTTTTTTCAAACTGTGCTTCAGAGACTCAGTGTGAAGTGTAAAATAGTCCAGTTCAGGTTTGACCCCCCGACACGCCTGGATTTGAGGACTCCTGCTTTAGAACAATAATGCCCTGCTTGCTTATTATTTCTATGTGATTCAGAATAAACAGATTTGCATTTATTGTGCAGACACCACTTAGACATTTGGTTTGTCAGAACACACCCGGAGAGACATGTTTTGGATGTTCCATTAAACGCCGTCATGTAATTATGATAATGAACATTCTTCTGAGGGTAATTTGGTCATTATATTGTTATTGTTTGTGTTAGACTGTTATTGTTAATTAATGCAGTACAACCCAACGATATTCTCATTTTCTCAAATTTACGTGGGTTTTGTTTAAGTTCTCTACACACAAAACACAAATGCAAAAAAATAAAATGTCACATTTTTAATGTAATATAAACTACAAATTGCACGAACATTTGGAAAATAATTCACAGGCCTACAGGTGAATTAAATAAATTGGAATGTTATTGAAAAGCTATGCAAAAACAAGCACTCGTGCATTAGATATATTATTCACACACACACACACAGTGTTAACACTTCATTATGTTCCACATATTAATCCAAAATAACTTTTCAATAATATTCAAATTTTCCAAAACCTGCAAATCAACAGATCAGATTTTAACATCACCTTAAAAAAATATACCAGTTTTAAGGCACTTTGACTCTAGAATACATAACAAGATACACATAAATGTCCAGAATGTTGCTTTGTTTGTAGACTTTGGATGAAATTGCTGCACTTGCTAAGAATAAAGAAACCCAAAGCCTTGAGTGTGGCAAGAGGCGTCTTTTTGTAAATGTGTCTGAAGCTGCTGATTTATTTAAGTGCTGATTTTGTTACAGCAAAGCAAACATTTATTATGATGTATAATGGATCCCCTATAAAATTATAATGTGCATAAAGAAAAGAACAAGCAGTTTAGCCTGTGTGGTATATTAGGAATAAGAAAGGAAGCTGTATTTATTAATTTATCTTCAACATATGTAAGAAAGTGAGAAGTTATTTAATGAGCTTGTGTTATTTTGTTAGATTATATGACAGATGGTTGCAGAATTATGTCAAAACGATGTGTGTATGGCTTATGAAATATACTTTTTTGTTTATTTTTTTTCCATTTAAATGCAAAAGTAAACCTTAACATTAATGAAACACCAGTTTGTCTGTTGTACATTCCTCACACACAGATGCTCTGCTGTAGATTAATGCCATGGAAAAGATATGAATGAAAACTCCTCATTAATATCCATGATCAGAGTCTTTTAAAAAGCGGAGTGTTAGCTAAATAAATA